GAGGTGCTCAAAGCTCCGCCAGGCCAGCAGGCAACCCGCGTTGCGCGGAGACTCGTGTGCGGCGGGGGGCAGCCCGGCCTCCCCAGCGGCGCGCTGGGCCGCCCGCGATGCCCGGGTGGGGTCGCCGCAGGCCTGCTCGGGACCTGCGCCCGGGAGGAGAGGCTGTGCGGGGTGCGGGGACGGCGACGCGCGTCTCACCCATGAGGATGCGCATCTGCTTCTTGCCGAAGAGGCGCGAGAAGAGCGAGGAGATGGTGAGGCCCATGGCGGCTCCGGGCTGGGGCTGCGGCGCAAGGAGCGAGCGGGATGGTGCTGGCCGCGTCGAAGGGGGAGGCAGAAGCAGCGACCCGAGCGCCGGTCCCTCCTGCTCGCTTTTCTTCGCTTGTCCTCCTCTACGGATAGCGCTACGCTATCGCAGGGCGCTGGAAAGAGCTCACGACCTCCGCTCACTGAGGCTGGTCTGCGTCCGAGGAGCCTGGTTCGCTCTCCTCTTTGCTCGCTCTCTGCCACGTCACGACCGCCCCGGCTCCAACGCGGACAGAATCGCGTCACGCCCGCCACATCCTCACCGCGGCACCGCCCCCACGAACCTTGGCTCACGACTGGCAAGAAGACTACAACTCCCGGGGTCCCCCTGGCTAGCCGCCGCCTTGCAGACTTTACTCTTGAGCTACGCAGCACGATGGGAAAGATAGTTCTCGAGGAACCCGGAGGTTTAGCCCTTCTAAAAGGAATGTGGTGTGAAGCATGCTGGGAACTGTAGTAGGTTTTTTTTAAGGTCTTTCTGAAACTGTTCTTCCGCTTTTTCTGCTGCAGTGTGTTCTGGGAGGCATAGTCTTCCTAGGAGAAGGTCGAGGCCTACTTCCCGTTGTAGTGGCTTGAACGAAGGTAGTGTGGAGTTTCACCTGTCTCAGATTTAATTCCTATAAATAACAAATCCGGTGATAAAACTTTAGACTCCAGTCCGAGTTTTACATGATGAAGGGAAATCATCTGTAGATCGGCAAAGGTTCTCGCTTCCGCTGGATTAACAACAGCAGTGACAAAAAGCTGCTTTAAATCAGGTCACTGAAATCAAGAAAGCTTTGAGAGAAAATTAGAAGCCTGTCTATCAAATAATGTGTGCACGCAGTTCTGATACTAAAATTCCTGGGGTGAATGAGTCCCCTATACTATTACTTTACTTTTCCCCTTTACTTTTATATTCAGTTGTTTTTTTGCCTTTGAGTCAGTGTTGAGTCAGTGTTGACTCCTGGTAATTGCCTGGACTAGTCCCTCCAATTTTCTTGGCAAGATTTTTGGAACTGACTTACCCTTGCCTTCATCTTCCTAGGGCTGAGAGAGAGCGACTGGCCCAAGGACAGCCAGATGGCTTTGTGCCTAAGGCGGGACTAGAGCTGATGGTTTTCAGGACTTTAGCTTGATGCCTTAACCACTACACACTGGCTTTCCTTACTTTTATATTCATTCATTATTCATATATTCATTAGTGGATTGAGATTCACTAGGAAGAAACTAGATCTCCAGGGCAAAACTTTGCCATTAGGGCGGAGTGAGCCAACCAGTTCAGGTGAACGGCGTTGGAGACAGAAGGTTCAGAGCTGTTCACCCCACATTTTTACCTCCATCTGGTGACAGATGCTCTGATGTTCAGTATACATCAGAGAACACTGTCTTGTCCTTTGCCTCATTCAAGAACAATGTCTTGAGCTAGTTTGTTAAGACTGATATGTGGACTCTCTTCTTCCATAAATGTTGGAAATAAACCAACACTTAAAGGGCCATGATCTCCCTGAAATACTGTGAACCTGTTTACAAAAAAATGCTACTGTATACCATCATGAAACATGAGTTGCACTGAAAGGTTATTGAGAATTATTTTTTTGAGAAGTCTATTTGTTTGATGATGATAATAACGATGCTATAATCCAAAAAGAAAATAACTTCAACTCAGTCCAAAACAGGCTTATTGAAAGTCTTGATGAGTCTAGCAGGACTTAGTACCAAGCACATGTGTTTAGAGTTGCAACATAAGACACAAATTATCAAAGTCCACAAACCAAGTCTAAGGTATTAATCAAAATAATTAATGATCTAAACAGATCAAATGCAAGTATTCATATTTGAATTGCAGTGGTTGTTCACAATTACAAAGTTTTAATTATCTATCTATCTATCTATCTCCAAAAATTATTGTATGTAAAATAGAAACAATAAAAATCAAAGGTATACTCATATCCCTACTCACCTGAGATTATTTCCTCCCTGTAGGTCAATTCATTTAAACAAGCCCTGATTTTAAGGAGGAGGAGGCAAATTTATGCAGTGGCAGATTTTTCATTAGGAATCCTTGAATTTCCATTCATTGTGAAGGACAGAATAAACAGTACATGACCTGGAAAACAGTTGAACAAATCAGAAAAATCTGCTTTCTGCTCTAAGCAGCAAACTCACCAGAGGCAAATAGCTCTCCTTTCAGTGGTGCCTGAGAATGCAAACCTGTTTTCTCCTATAATGGATTATAGTTCAAGTTGTGTTGCTGTTGTAGCAGGAAGAAAAAGGGCAAATCAGTTCTGCTTCATGACTACCCCATATTAAAATGGAAACTGCATGCAGGATTTTTCATTTATCTGTCCTCCACAGTTACTACTTTTTAACTCTCAATAGTCAGTCACCATTTTTGACATCATGCTTTTTATTCATTCCCTTTTTCCCTATGGGCATTTTTTTTTATATTTGTAGAAGATCAGATTCTAAGCAGATAGATAACTGGAGTTTGGGTATATGCTGTATTGGTATATTTTGGCTTGAGTTCATGAGTTTGAGTTTGAGTTTGGCTTGTAATCTCAAAAAATGACAGCAATTTACTCTCTTACTGGGTTCAGGAATCAGGCTTCAACATAGTTGGATTTAACTATGATATTTTTAACAAGTAGTATTGGCCTGGTTCACATGTCATAAAATGATAAAAATGTGTTCAAGTCAAGCTTGACTCTTGATTATAGACATGGAAGTGGTATATTTTTGCCTTTTGGGATATTTTTCAACTTCCCAATCTAGCATATAGCCCTAAGATTTCTTGGTGGTCTCTCATCCAAGAACTAACTAGGTTCAACCCTGCTTAGCTTTTTTCAGTCAGCTAAGGTTAGCTTCATACTCTTACCCTATACATTAAAGGGGGTGAATCTATGGCCCTAAGATCTCATGTAGTCCATGAATCCCCCTTTTGCAGTCCTTGAAGTTCTCTCTGATTATGACAGCTGAAAATTGACAGATCATTTCCCACCATATGGAACTAAAAATATATGAAAACTGTCCTAAATATTCCATTATTTCTGTTTTTTTAAAAAACAACTTCTCAAAAACAACTGTTTTGAGTTCCCTCTGAGCAGAAAGGCAGGACGATGACGACGACGATGATGATGTATGATATGGCTTTAGAGCTTTCAGCATTACTAAATTGTTAAGAGTAACTCTTGCTACCAACAGGATGCCCACACTTGCCGTGTATGACTTGATTCAAACATTGTGCTAAACCAAAATTAAATTGTGTTATGGCTGTATCTGTACAGCTTGCTAAGCCAAAAAGCTTGTTTTTTTTATTGAAGAAACAAAAGGCCTAGTAAAAATGTTAAGTACAAATTAACATTAATTAAAACTTGTGATATATCCAGAATAAAATTTGTGTACTCAATCTATTAGGATTTATTAAAATATAGTTAATAATCCCTGACTAGATTTGAATAAATCTGTAGAGTTTTCACTGTTAATTTTTCTGCCAAAGCAGTTTCTCCCACTTTTAAATACCTCTGATTCAATGAAGGATGTAGTGATTCACAGGGTGGAAGGCTGGAGATTCCAACTGCCTTCCCAGAAGCCCTTGAGGCTTCATACTCTGGTCCTGCCTCCTGCTTTAGGTAGCCACTTGGTACAGTACTTCCTGCTGCCACCACCTGTCTCCCATCACAAGATGTCCCCTGCCAAATCCAGCATGCAAAACAGATTGGGTCCTCATGCCCTGTGCTGCCTTTCTGGTCAACATTTGAAAGCTGAAAAAAAATTCTAGCTGGTTCACCAGTATAATACCTCTTTTGCAAGAGCAGCACTAATTGTGGATGAGCTCCTGGACTCAATTCAATGTATTGGTTGCTACCTATAAAGCTGTATATGGCTTGGGCCCTTGCTATCTTCAGGACTATATTCTTGTCCTACGTGATCTGGGAAAAAGAAGATGCTCTGACTGCCCACTTCTAGAGAGATCAGGGAGGTGGGAATCTGGAAAATGGCATTTTCAGGGGCAGCTCCCTCACAGTGAAATAGTTGAACTATTAAGATTACACTGAGCCCGATGGTTTTATCCATCAAGAAGCAAACAAAGACGTTCCACTTCTGCAGTGCTTTGGGGAGTGAGTTGGAAAGACAGCTGCAGATTTAAGATTTTAAAATTGAACATGTTTAGTATTTTGGATTTTATAGATGTTTTTAAAGTATTATTGCAAGCTTCCTAGAGTTGCTCATGTAGGCAGCATACAAATAATTGAAATCAATCAAATAGTGCCTCCTCCTGTTCATGTAGCATAGATGTCTAGAGCAGGGTTTCTCAACCAGGGTTCTGTGGAAACCTAGGGTTCTGCGAGAGGTCACTAGGGATTTCCTGGGAGATCATGATTTATTTAAAAAAATATTTCAAATTCAGACAATGCACTCTTGCAGTGATGAGCAAAGACTGAACAAAAATCTAGTTACAACTCCTTCTGGGATCTCTGGTAGCATGCTGTGTACTGTGGTTGAATCCATTCTTAATTTTTGATACAAGGTAGCAAAGACAGTTGATAACAGGTGAACGCTATATTGCAGGAAGGGAGGAATATATTACAGGAAAGGAGGAATATATTGCAGGAAAGGAGGAATATATTGAAGGAAGGGGAGGGAGAAGTACATTTTTCAAGAAATTAATGGACTTGTCCAACTTAGTCTGTGACATCAGTCTCTCCCTCCCACATATTTTCCCTGTGGTTTTCCTGTAGTTATTTTATCCCATTATTTTAAATAAATTTTGTACATGTTTATTCAGTCATGTCTGAGCATCCAGTGTGGTGATTTTTGAAGAGATGTGAGAGAGAAGAGGAGGATTCTAGAATGGACAATACCAATAAGTTTAATGATGATAATGATAATGAAGTATTTAAATCTTCTCAGGCATTTCCCTGCACTGGCACATCAACGGACTCAAAAAAAAAGTCCATCTTTACAATGAAAGCTATTTATCAATGGGTTTTACGTGGACTGGTGAT